GTGTTTTGAAATCTCAACCCTGGATTCAGCGAACCAAAAAAAGACCTTATAGATAGACCTCCGTGTAAAGCACTGTAAAGTACATGTAAGTAAAGTACATGTAAAGTAAAGAAATTACTCGCTTCCACTGCTTTTGGCGTTAATTACGGGTCTATCAGTGAACTGATTAAGAAGCTTGCTCAATACGAATAAAAGCAGCACCAGTGTGAAACAGACTTGAAACACCGCGTGAGACAACGAAGCCCGATCCGCTTTCGAGCGCGAGCGAGCTTTCGACCGGAGGATTCGACTTATTACTTCGTACGCGTATTGTCGAATTCAAATGCGGGGGTGCACGAAGTTGAGAGAAAAACAGATCCAAAGTTATTTCGCAGCTTGGTGCGGGCGGGCGGGAGGGAGGGAGAAAAAGTCGATGTGCATAAATTGATGCGGTGGGTTTGCAGCGCGTCGACGTATCGTCGGCTATCGAGGCGCACCGGAGTGCACCGTCTTTATGCATATTAATGATGTGCATGACAGATAATGAGATTCGAGCCCAGATAACAGTGGGTCAAGCCGCGCGTAGCTTATCGGGGCGGGGAGGGGTGGGGGGAAAGAGTGATTAACGCGCTGGGACGTTTGCGCTTCGCAGGCGCGCAGGTGTCATTACTGTAGGTATTACAGTTATTGACCAGTCTTTATAACGCTCTGCGGGGCGGGGAGGGGGGAGGCGCCATCGCTGAAAGGCTCGCGGCTTTTCAGCCGCGTAAAGCAGTGTAAAAGCACGGGCTCGCGCTTCAGATTGGCTTGATTTTTTATTCGCAAACCGTGAAGCATCGGGCGCGATTTGTCGGCCGGGTATTGAAAACAACAGCGCGCGCGTGCATAAAACGAGACATGCGGCCGGGAAAAATGCACATATTCATACATGGAAATATGCAGTGAGGGGGCGAGGCAGACGGCGAGGGGGAGAGACCGGCGAAGCGCGTCGTGTCGCGGGGAGAATCGCGCGCGTCGCGCGGCCGGATGCGCGAAAGAGCCGAATATTTGCCGGCCGCGCCGCGGCTATTTGCGCCAATTGACCGTCATAACATCAATTTCGGGCCTCGAAACGCGTTAGCGCGGCACATTGTTTCGTCAGCGCGCGCCGAGTTTCCAATTCAAATATTGCTCTTACGTGCGATCGCCGCTTTTCCGCCGCTTCTTCGATTACGGACGGTGTCGGCGGCGGCTACGTGCTACTTTTCAAAACTGCCGCTACCACCCCCCCGCCCCTCCTCCCAAGCTGCTTTGTTTTACGCCCGATAATATGACTAGCCGCTACCGACGATCGATCGTCACGACGAGCGGACGACGTGGTATAACGTTTCGCCGTTCGCTCGTGAATCAGAAATAAATAGGAGCGCGCGCGCGCGCGCGCGCGCGATTCGGACGGCGCGATGGCGCGGAAGCGGAGGAATGCCCAAGCAGAGGCTATGGATTTTATGCTAATTTGGGGCCCGCGTAACCGACATTCCCGCTGAAGCGGAGGCTAACGGTAAACGTAGCCAGCGTCGCTCTCTCATTTACATCGAGACACCACCGACGTCGATGAGGCGTCCCTGCACTGCCTCGCCAATTCGATCCCTTTGTCCCCGTTGATTATCCTACTCGCGACGTTGAGGACACCTCCATTCAAAGCGAATCGACGACTCACAGCCCAATCTAATTGGCACGGTCTAGCCCGGCTTTATGATTCATTGCGCAGTTTTACACGCGTCGAATGTTCGCTAATGCGTTTCGCAAATGTCCCCGTCGCGAGCGAATCCGTCATTTCCGAAACCGCAGCGTCTACTACGGACCCTCCAAACGTCACCGAAAATGTTTAAAAGAATATTCCCCTCTCCCTCTCTCTCTCTCTCTCTCTCTCTCTCTCTCTCTTTCGCTTTCTCTCTTTTGTTTCTCTTTTTTATATTCAATGTCTTCTTTTATAGCTTCCTTGACATATTTCTGATGGACGCGTCGTACACGCAGAAAACTATTTGATTAAAATAAATGAATATAAGAAAAATTCCGTTAGAAGGTTTCTGTTGCCTCCAAAGTATACTCGATCGTCTATACTGAACATTAGTGTTGTCAAAGGTACTTCAAAGGTAATTTCGTTCTTCATACGAATAAACAGAACGAGTCCCTCTGCACGCAAATGAAGAAGGAAAACACTTGCGCGACCAAGTTGAAAATCGCATCATTGGCAGCGTCATTCAACTTCGTCAAACGAATCACGTAATTGAGATTTCGTTTCTCTTTACATATATTACATATGGAGTTCCACGTCTTTACATATATTACATATGGAGTTCCACGTCTTCTGTGAGAGTAATCAAGTACTCTGGCGCGGTAACTATATTTTCGAGACGGAAAATTTGAATTCCTTTAATTGACAACAATTGTTGATGCGAATGATTTTTCGCCTTGCGAAACAGAATTTTCTACTATTCCAACCAAACTTTACATAACAGAAAATTTCTAGTTGTCACTACATGTAGATTTTTCTGCATGTACACATAATTCGTATAAATTTTAGTAAATTTGAAGTATATATATGTAACGTCGAGATAGTAAATTACCCGTCAAGTTTTCCTAATGATGATGCGACCTGTCTTAAAATTCACAGCAGCCGCGGCAGTTTTAATTATTCTCTGTCGCACCGTGATGTTGGAAAGAAAACGAGTTACGTTTACATGCAGAAAATTATTCAGTTGATATAACTGAATTTCAGTTATGACAAGCGAAATTTTCAGTTATTCAGGAATCAATTGAAAATTCGGTTGCAACAGCAGAAAAATTCAGGTGGAAGATTTCTGTTGTTCTAAAAATATATTCGGCACCTCAGCCGAACGTTAAGTTGCCAAGAATATAAGTTTCATTCGTCACAACCTATAGTTCAATTTATGTTGTCGGATATTTAGGTTATTGGAAACAGGTTCTGTCATCTTTGCAATTAATGTTTCGCAAACTAAAAAATTTGCTAATGTAACGTAGTTTTTTCAGTTTTTGGCAAACATATTATTATAGTTAATGTATCTTTTTTGGCGCAATAATGTAAATGATGATATAAATATTCATATCTTGCAGATAGTTTTGCATTTTTCACTACATCCGCTTGACGACTGTCTTCACATGGATAAAACAAAGCATCTCTGTGTATATAAGTGAAGGGGAAAAACGCGCATACGGGTTCAAGATCGCATCATTGGCTACATTATTCAACTTTTTCAAACAGGAAGTCTTTTCGGTCGCGGTAACTGAGAGATTTTGTTCCTCTTTACATAAACGATATAGTTCCACGCTTTCTGTAAGAGTAGCCGAATACTCTGCTGTGGTCACTATATTTTCGCGACCGAAAATTTCTGTTCCTTCAATCGAAAGCGATTGTTGATATGAGTGGTTCTTCAGTTGGCAAAACAAAATTTCCTGTCACCGCAACTGAAATTTATCAACAGAATTTATTAACAGAAAATTTCTAATTGTCGCAACAGAATATTTTTCTGCGTGTAGGAAAAGAAAACTCGCCGCAAACATTCGCGCGTCCGAGTTTAAAATCGCATTATTCGTCGGCAGCGTCATTCAATTCGTCAAACGAATCTTTCCGTTACGATAATTGAGATTTCTCTTTACACGTATGATGTAGTTCCACGGCTTCTGTGAGAATAACCAATTAATCTACTGCGGTAATTCCATTTCCGAGACGCAAAATTTGAGTTCCTTCAATCGACAGTAATTGTTGATTCGAATGATTCTTCGTTTTGCGAGGCAGAATTTTCTACCACTGCAACCGAACTTCACATAACAGAAAATTTCTAGTTGTCGCAACAAAATATTTTTCTGCGTGCATACATAATTGATAAGGTATAAATTTAACAAAATTTGAAATATATACATATAACGTCGAGATGCGAAATTATTTTCAAGTCGCGGCTGGGCTCAAAATTACATCATTGGTAGTGTTATTCGACTT